TCTCGCTGGAGTCCCTCAAGTGATACAAGAAAGGGATTTATGTATGTCGATTTCAATCGATGATATTGTTGTGGTGGTTCGCCTTATTTTTCTCCCGTTCGTTCCGTATGATATTTTTTTTCACCAGCCCGGTATGGTTTGACGCGGTTTGACGGAACAGTGTCAGCGACACTCGTTGCGCCAAAGTGAGCCCAACCCGCCCGAGAGGAGGATAAAAACTGACCGCCCGCCGCGCGGCGAGAGAAAGGGATGCGTCAAGGGATCCGTTCCGCCGGCGCCTGCCGACACAGTGCACGACACAAAGGAAATGGTGCCGATCGTTAGGTAATCAGGCAAATGGCGCCATCGATTTGTCGACTTGTTTCTTACGCATTATGTGGCGGGGGCGGGGCGGGCGTATCTCAGGCCGGTATCACTGTGTCACGTGCAAACAGTCATGGCTGTGCCGCGCTGTCCCGCTTCGTTGCGCCGGCACGCATGCCACCCTCATTTTCGAAAAGGGACTCGACATGTTGAGCGGCGGGTCGCGTGCGCGAGGCTTTCGTACGGAATCAATCGTCACCGCCAGAGGAAATAAATGACACGGCCCGCGACGAGGCCCAAAGAACAGAGTGCCATCATTGACGCGGAAAATTGTACAGTGCGTTTTATCGTTGTGCACATATAGGAAACGGTATACACAGTACAGTATGGAGAAGAAGAACATGAAGACAAAACACAATCGATCTGACTGTACAAACTGGCGCGAGATTACGAATTACCAACACTGTATCACAACGCAAGAAGACACTTTTTGTGTACGGGCTCGAAACACTAGGTCGGCGGCTTACGTCTTCTTTCCATATTGCCTTATAGCCATAGCGCATAGCACCGTGTGGTGTGGGTATGCAACCCATACGCACGCTTGCATGCGGCACAGTGAACGCAGCTTAGTACCCTGTACATTTATCTTTATATACTTTGGAAATGGAAAGAAAAATCGCATTAAATCAATAGGAAATGCTGAACATCAACGATAGTGATAATTGGTGTAGACCAATGGGATTCTAAGAAAATCAATGTGAATCACCGACAATTAATGGGATTTCGCTGAAAATGAATGAGGAATGAATGGAAATCAAGATTGTTTTCGCCCTCGCTTGTGTCCCTATAGGATGATGATAAGGCCTGTGGGGACCCCATAAAATAATGACGGGCTCCCCGGTTGCACCAGGTGCACGCGTCCTACACATCGCGGCCACCTCCTCGGTGGTCTCGTTGATTGTCTGTTGGCCTTTTTTTTTCTCGCTCCTCCTCCTCCTCCTGCTCCACCTTCCCCTGCCTGACGCCGGCGCGGCGCGGCACGGCGCGTTGATCACGCGCTCGGACTTGCCAACGCGACGACACCTACATGCATTAAACATGGCGCGGCCGGCGCTTTTATTACAACCGCGTGTTTTCACTCTTTGCGTTGGCACTGCTGCTGCAGAGGCCGCGAGGAGGAGCCATCAATCATAATTTGCGGGGAGGAGGCTGCTGCTGCTGCTGGCTGCACGTCTCCTGTCCCGCTCGCTCCAGAGGGACAGAGAGGACACGCACCTCTACTTGGGCCCCTCGGCGCGCACCGGGCGGTGAGCAGAGGAAAAAGCTGTTTCTCAAATTATAAGTACGAAGTACGTCATATCGGGAATGTTAACAGCGAGCCGGCCCTCTATATATAGTGATCGGGGCGGCAGCTGCGGCTATGCTACCTACTCCATTTTTTTTCTCCTTCTCGTCGATACCTCCCGCGCGTCGCCGTCTGATGTCATGACGTTTATGACATGGGAAGCTCTAGTGCTCTAGCGTGTTGGCCGCCGTGTGTGCTCTTATACCTTTGTTGCAAGACGTTTTTCGTCTTCTTTTTTTTTTTCTAGTGTGGGGGTCGCTTGGCGCGCGCGAAATGCAGCGCACCGCAGCCATAGCAGCATTGGTATGCGCGCCGGGCGTGTCGGTGCCGCGTCCCCGCGCTGACACCTTCTGCGCGCCTTTATTATTCAATCACCCTCATGCAAAAACTTTCCATCGATCTGATCGGCCCCCTTTTTGGCTGAACTTTTTCTCAGATGCTAGGCACCAGGGTGAACTATACGACAGAGGCTGATGATGTGGGTGGCTGTCACTGAGCTATAGTCCGTCGTTTGCCAACCGCCCACACGCTGCAGGTGCATTGGGACGGTCAGTCAGGCGACGAGGCGCCTAGAGTGGCGTTGGCGTGGAAAAGGTGTACATCGTCGGTACTTTTGTTATTGATTGTCAGCGCGCCTGTCTGCTTGCGTGGCACGCTGTGGTGGCGGCGTGCGGCGCGGCGGGGAGGCTATCGCCAGGCTGGTCACATCGCGGCGCTCGCACAAACAGCGCACACAAAGGCGCCGCTGCCGTCCCCCCTTCCACACCCGCGCCACAGTGACACTCGCACACGATTTCCCTTTTCAATACCTTTCCCCCAACATTTTCCTGTCGCGGATGGTAATGATGATGATGATGATGGAGTTGGTTCATCCTCTGGCCGACGCTGACTCAGGCGCCATTTCCATATCCTTATGGCGACGCCCATTGTGTCACTTAAAAGGCGCCGGCCGCTTCCACTTCCGGAATTGGCCCCTCCTTCCTTCCGCCTCAGTCTCCTCTTCCTTTCCTTCCCTTCCTTTATTTTTCTTTTTCTTTTCTGCGCGTATATGACTTCTCGTCGATAAGCCTATTTGTTTTTGTTTTGTTAAAGTCAAAGGCTGAAGACCCACCCCTCTCTCTCTCTCTCTCTCTCTCTCTCTCTCTCTCTGGAATGGGTTGGGAATAACAATAATGTCGGATGCGTTCACGGCGCGAAGCGCACACTCCTTGGCGCCTTCGGGTCTGGCCGGTGCGCCTGCTGCCCCCTCCAGATCCAGCGAGCTCGTGCAGCCAGGCCTTTTAGGCTGAAATTAATACTTTATCGATTCGTTGAGTAAGAGAGAGGCGCATCACGCTGTTGAGAAGTATGCGAGGATTTATTTAAGGCATACCTACTCCCTACTCCTATAGGTATCCACGTAAAGTTTTTGCATACGTATGTATAGATTTGAGCTTGCTGTATTATGCACGAATTTATACTTTATTTTGCACAAATTTGTTCAAAATTATGCACAACTTTGTACACACATCTTTCAGTCCAATCATTTGCGCATAATTCTGCATCCGCAGATCTGTCAATAATTATGCACATAGAAAAATGAACATGAACATTTAATGTGCATGTTCACTTACAAAAGACTGTTGTCTTTGCGGAAAAGCGTCTCGATGAGAGATGCTGGGTCTCGTCGTGTGCTGGACCTCTGCGCGGCTGCCGTGGCGTGCTCTCCCTCTCGCCCAGCAAATTTACATGTCTTGCCAGATGGAATGCACTGATCAGTGCTCGATCCTAGAAGAACCCTACCGTGTTCAGCTGCACGCTGACCCCGCGATGTCTGGAGGAGGTTCTGTACAGAAGCCATCGTTGTTCCTTATATTTTACAGTGTCGTAGCCTACCACTTATGTCTTCTGGATTTGTTTTTTTGTCAACGTCTACATGGGGCTCTTCTATTTTGTTTTTTCGCCGAACTATCTAGGCGCACAAAATGCAACATAGTTGCACCAGGCACCACCTTGTGGACTGTCCTTTCATCCCATGTGCGTCAGTTCCACTGGCCACCGCTTTCCTAGAAACCAAAAGGAGAACTTCACAGGTCCTTAATTCGATTCGAGGGTGGCAAACCATAAAAAGTCCAAAGTCCATATATCAGACTATGACGGAGGCTAACGACTCATTCACAACTTTTATTAGGGTCCACACTGTGCCTATAGGCACTACACAAATAAAAAAACACATCACCTACCTGCCCTTAAATTTCATATTTCAGTGAGCTTCCTTTATCTACAAGTCAGGAACCACAAAAAGTTTATTTTACCTAATTATTAAGTTATTTTGTTTTTCTATTTAAAAAAGCGGGCCAGCTTTTTTGTTTGCATGAGAACGTCCTAGCTCGTCGTTTGTCCTCTGGCGTCTTGTGAGCCGTGCCTCCAGTCAATAGTCCTCTACAAGGCATGAATCAAAAGACGGGGACAGATCATGGCCTCCCCGAAGACATCTCTGTTGGGCGCTACCAACCACCCCCACCCACGGTCTGCGCCCACACTACCACCACACCTATCCATTAGTTTGACAAGGGAACCCAAACGCGGACCCCCTCCTGTCCCCGGCACTATATTAAACGTTAAAAATTGCACACACCGGACATTTTGACATCAGGGTCTTGTCCACCCCAGACTACCTATCGTCTCTGAATTTTATTTCCCTTCGACCCGATTCCAGGCACGGAACCTAGCTGCTTTTATCGCCAGGAGGCAAAAGTGATAAACTCAACGAGGCACGAAATCGGTGGGGATACCGAACTGCTGGACCGAAACGGATCTGTTGACCTTACCTGGACGAATTAATGCTTTGGGTACGAGTACACATGTTTGAGTAATCCGCGATAAACAAACCCATTTAATTGTTAAACTATGATTGATCTGAGATTGATCAGTTTTTTGTTTGCTCATGTCTTCGAACAACATAAAAGAATGTGTCAGAGGGTGCTCTTGCCCTCTCGCTAAACACGGCCTACCTCATTTCTGGCAGTGTAGGGAACACAAAAGGAATTGTTGGATGTGGTACACAAGAAGAATGGACTTGACGCAACGTAGGAAGGTAAGGGGAGTCAGGTGAGGGCGAGGTCGGGCCGGACCCCGTTGGGGGCCCCATTGGGGACCCGGGCGGGCCCGGGTCCCAGCCGGGGACCCTGCATGGGCAAGGGGACACTATTCATGGCAGGGGGACACAATATTTATGACAATTTGTCTGTCATTGCTGGCGCCAAAGCGGCGGGGCTCCGTCTACGGCCCAAATTGGGCCGAAGTTGGTGAGGCTCGTGGGGGAAGAGAGAGCCAAATAAGTAGGGACTCATATTATTTTTCTGCATTTCAGGTTTAACGACGCTGGTCGTTGTGCAGGAGCAGGCGCTTGTGCCAAGACGGCAGCAATCTGCCGCTGTGTGGAGGCCAACCACGCCACGCGCGTCTTTTAATTCTCCAGGTGAGTTAAATGAGGGGCCTCTTTCACGTATCGAGCTTCCCCGGCTTTCCCTGAAAACACACGCCCCGACCCCCCAGCAGGCTCGCCACCTCAATCCGACCCTAATCCATCAATATGGCAGTGCGACGGCTACACTGCGAGACCTAATGCCTTCTTTTCTTTTGCTTTCTTTTGCACTCTGGATCCGCCGGCTGCCCTGCCTTTTATCGCGTAATACGACGATGGGTTGAATCGCGCGTTTTTGTGACACTTTGCTCGGGGTAAACGCCTGCTACTGCAACAGTTGTCGCAGGGGGTGAGGGCCCCGAACAAGGCAGTCATATTGAAGCAGATTGTGAGCAGGTGAAGGTGTGTGTGTGTGTGTGTGTGAGTGTGCGTGTGCGTGCGTGAGGGCGCACGACGAGGAATGTTGAGACAATGAAGGACATGAATCAATGACATGATGTCATGTGTCCCCATGGCATCGCCGCGGGAGGCAGACGTACGACCGACCATAAAGACGGTGTCCACGGCGTGTCCGGGCGTGGCCCACGGGGTGGCGCGGGGACCCTTCGGGATCGTTCGGGATGCAGGGATAGAAGAACCTCGGGGGGGTTGGCGCACGGCGCAACCAGGTGTGCGTTGTCTTAGCAGGACATGCATTGCCATCGGACAACCCTTGGAAATTTTTATCGTGTGTGGTTACTAATGATATATTAGACAACAACTGGGCTTGTGCTTGCATGCTCGCCCACTCTTCTAATTCAACTGTACAGCCAGATCCTAGTTGAATTGCCACATCAAATCAAAGTCTTCCAGTGAAAACTGCAAAAATAGAAAAAACTAACGTTTCTAGTTTTACCTTTTAGTTTTGCGCTTTCACGTGTAAGACTTTAGTTGTTCAGTTTAAAACCGTCATTTTCTTACACATTTTTGATTTAAAGAGCACAACTTGTGACGCTGGCGCTCACGCAACAAGTTTCACGCCACTCCGTTCGCGGAAGGGTCGCGGCCTTCGTATCACCTTTTGGGGGCGGGTCGGCGATCGGTGGCGCGAGGAGGGAGCCCCGTGCATAAAAAAAGGGGAGGCTATCCGAGACCAAACGCGTTGTAGGTGGCGGACGCCTCCCGCGGCGGCGGTGTCCTGCCGCGTCCCCATGTCACAGGCAGGCCTATGGGCCTTTGTCTCCTGCTATGAGATGGATGCTGAATACCTTTCGTTCCGCCCCGCCCCACTCCGCCCCTACCTACCTGACTGCGTGCCTCGCTTGGTGGCGCCACACGTGGCCCGCTGGACCAAATCAATTTGAACATCGAAGATATCGGCTCAAAGTTTCTGTAAAAAGTCCTCTATCCGAGCTCTGCAAAGTCTTTGCTGTCACTTTTTCGGATAGGTGCACTGAAAGACCTTTGTTTTGTTTTTTACATAATAACAAACTGATCTCTTAGCAACTCATTTACCAGAACTGAACATTTCTACAGCTTTACATTTAGCTTTGGGTACGTGCTTTGGGTTTTTAAGGAAGTCACACAATTCTATTCATACGTTTGACGATTGAAACAGTTCCTCAGTCTGAGCAGCAAGTCATCCGCGCGTTCAAGTTCCCATACAATAAAATAGCCGTTGTCAGTTATTTTGTTAAAATCTCAATTGTATGCACGAGTCTTTCTTCCACTTTGTGGAGTTACAATGTCTTCTCTAATTAATGATTTGTTAGTCATATTCTAAATTTGCTATCGGTTTCAATTCATGACAGATTATTTTTGCGCGGCAGAGGATTCCGACTTGATTCATGGTGTCTCAATAATTTTTAACTGTACCATGTCAAAATCGTACTTTACAACATTTCTCATGGAAAATATTTCTTTTAAACCTAAAAACACTTTTTATCTGAAACGAAAAGTCTGTGGAGAACTTGCGATAAAAACACAAATTTGTTGATCGTTTCCCACAAATATCCTGGCCAAGCGTTTGGTACATACACCTCGGCATACACTGGGTGCATGACGGCTGCTCAGGTAATCCACGTGGCTACACCAACCCTAAACGGTGACAATGAGACTGAAACCCTCCTCCCAATAAGGTACCCGTTTTTACTGCGGACGTATAAATGACCTGGCGAGCTTTTTTTTTTTCAATAAAAAGAAGCGCGCAACGCACCGCCAAAAGGAGAGGCCGCTGCTTCATTTCGAGATATCGCTGACCGCGGCCCGTATCATATCAGCCGGCATATTACTGCAGCAGGTCGGACTGTCCGCTCATCGGTCCGTCCGGCTGTCCGGGTCCAGCCGCGAGGCCGGCCGCGCCAGCCGCGCCAGCCGCGCCAGCCGCGCAGGCAGGGGTAGGCTAAATCAGGAGCTTTATGACGGACCGCGGGTTTAAATCACGAATGAGCGGGACTCGGGGCGGACTTCAAAGCGGACGACACGGCGGCGCGCGAACCTGCGCCGCGCCACGCCGCTCGCATGACGTTTTCACGCACTCTTTTTATGAAGCAGTAAGGTGATGGAAATACAGCGCGCTGCTGCTGCGGCGGAAGACTTTGTTGGGCCGATAGGGACCTATGTTGCGGCTGATGGCGGATCGCGGGCTGTTTTTGAACGGCAGCAACTGTTTTGACGTCACGGTTTCCTCTAAGTTTCGCCTTTCTTTTGACAGTTTTTATTGTTACGACTTATTTATATATTTTGTACCTGTAGAGGGAGCCCTCTTTGCCGCCAAGCCTGACGCCGCGGGCCCCGCGATAGTCGCGGGCGGGGAGTGAAGGCGTTGCCGGGCGCACGCGGCGCGAGCCAGCGGGGCGGGGCGGGGCGGTGTGGCCAGCACGGGCTTCCGAAAACGGCCGCGCCCTATCTTTAACACATCTCCGAACAATGTATACTTTTGTTCTTCCGGAACATAATCACGGGCCGTTCAGGTGAGAGGGTTGGGGTCCTCGCCCGCCCGGACTGTACGGCCAGCAGCGCGGCCACAGGCGGCCACCACAGGCCCCGGCGCGGCAGGCCGGCCGGCGCGGACGAGATTGGGGAAATTGATACGGTATCGAGAACTGTCTCGGCTCTCCCCGGCGGCCGCGTGACGTGGCGCAGCGTGGCGCGTTGCCCGCACGGCCTATCCGTTGCCTATCGTGAGGCAGCTGCTGCAGCGCACGGCACATGTACGCCCTAATGACCGCGCCGCTCAAGCTCTTGTTAGGGCGTGTAGTTATGCATAGGTGTCCCGATATTTTATGACCCAGAGGAGACTGACGCGGGGGACCTCTGTCCTGTGGTCCCTCCGCACCCCTTTGTCTCTGTCCACACTGTGGGGTGCTGGTCGTAGATGACGTCAGGTCTAGACCTCTAGACCTCTAGAGCTCTATTTTTCGCGGGATACATATGTGGCCGAAAGTGAACACTGGTACAACAAGTGTTTAACATTGCACGTCAATTGGTGTTTAAGGTGAAGTGTGCATTTTTTAGACACTTTGTGGTGTCCTACTAGGTTATACGTCAATTGGTGTTTAAACTTTCGGTACTTCCGAAAAGTCTCGCAACTGCACACCACATGCTTCCTATTGATAGCATCGAACTGTATGTGCCGAAGTGTGCAAAGTTTAAACGTTTACAAAACGTCTAAAATTTGCATACCACGCAAGTGTGCAAAATCATAACTTGCTCACGTTGGTGTGCAAATTTTGCACACTTGTTTCACCAGTGTAAGGTCAAGCAAATAAGCGTAGTGTTTGATCATTATTCAGTTTCTATTCAGTAACACAGACAGACGTCGAACCTATTGTGCATACTATTGAAGTGTGGGACTGGAAATTTGAAAATCGATAAGTGTTGAACTTTATTGTTAAATACTTCTTAGTGTTAGTGTTCAAATACATTCAGTCATTCAGTCAAACGCCGAAACGTGTCGCAATGCGAAGGTATAGGAGGATGCTGTGTCATCAGAAATTTTGCAAACTGTTTGATGCACATCAAACTGTTTGATGCACAGGTCAAGCGAAGGTATAGGAGGATGATGTGCTTTAGACACTTGTGATCACATTCTGAGTTTCGATTACCATCCAGTGTCCTGACTTCTAAACACTAACACTGTAAACTGGTTGGTGTCTAATGACGCCAATATATTAGCGTTATAAGGCGCCAAGATTTGGCGTCATGAGATGCCATGATTCGGCGTCCTATGGTAAATGACGCCAAAATTCGGGCGTCTCTTGACGCCAAAATTTTTCGTCTTCCCAAAACAACGACAATACTTTGGCATCAAAAGACGCCAAAATTTGGCGCTCATCAGAGGACGCCAATATTTTGGCACGACGCCAACCAATTTTCAGTGAACCGAAATAAGTGATTTGCGCCACCGTGTGTCCAGCTCGGTCCCCACGTGGCTGCCGGTTCGATACGTTGCCCTGTTAACTTTGAGTGTTTTAACGCCCCTTTTTCTACTTCGCCTCCGTCGTGATGAGGGTTTTGTGTGTCTCGCTCTTGTTCTGTCCCTGTCCCCTATCGTTCGTACCCCTCTGCCTCTCACTCCCACCAAACGAGATGAGAGAGGAAAAGAAAAGAAATGCCCGGTTAATGAGGAACCGTGTCTCTGGTGGACTGTGTCTCGGTTGACAAAGTGCATGGGTGCTTCCCCCCCCCTTTCATTCCAGATCGCCCCTCTCTTGTCTCCTCCCTCATCCTCCTTCGTATTTTGTCGATGTCCCTGGTACTTCCCTGACCAATGACAACATGAATTTATACATGAGGCTTTAGTGCCAGCTACTCATTCCCATGCAGATCCCTAATAGGTCCCCCTTGTTGCGCTCCTTGCTGCATTTTGCTACTTTATACTTAATGACGAACGCGTTGCGCGCGCTTCACACGTTAATTGCGCAAAAGACTGCGCGGAGCAGCAAATCTGATTACGGTGAGGACACGACCTGCTGGCAGAAATAATAGTGGCAAAATACGATGAATAATGACGGCGGCAGCAGCGTTATCACGAAAATATCACACAGCCTCGGGCCCAATCGGGGGCGCCTATG